GCTGTACACTGGTTCTGTTTGCTCTTTCCAAATGCTGTCTAGAGTATTAGAGCCTACTGCACGCTCTGCAAGTGGTGCTCTTATTTTTTCCATCCCTCTTTTTCTCCAGTAATAAACCAAATTCCTCAGGTGCACTCTGTGAGGCTGAGAAATAGGATATTTCCCCTTCCTTGAAAATATCTGAAGGTAAAGTCCCTCCCCCCTCCTCATTCGGTGTTCCTGGGGCATACAGCATGGGGGCTGAATGAAACAGTTTTTGAAGTGTCTTGCTTCTCGTCCCACAGGACATGAGACCACATGCTGGAGAGAGCGCTTCACTGCTGCACCACATAATCTGTACTGCTGTTGGCTGGGCAGTGATGTGGGGTGACAGAGCAGTGAAAAGGAGGTCATGGCTGCAGAGGGGGATCTGCCCAAAATCATCGAGCCTGCCAAGGCCTCCTGCTGCTTTTATGCGTCACTGCTTGTTGCTGTCCATGTTCCCCCCGTTCCTTCAGAGTTTGCAAGTTCAGCACAGTGTTTCATTTGGGGTGATACAAAGCTCCTGGCATGATACAAAGCTCAAAAAAGGTAGGGAAGGACAGAACAATATATGAAGCTGAAGCACAGAGGTAAAAACAATGAAAACTAAAATGCTAAATCAATAAAAATGCAGGTAAGTATTCTCCCAGACAGGCCATGCGGAGGGATGAAGTAGTGGGGAAATGGAAAAGTGAGCGGAGTTCAGAGTCAGTCAGAGACTCAGGCAAATTGTACAGGAAGGACAAAGGTTGTGGGGGATGAGGGGGAAAGGGGACTTCAGAGGGGAGTGAAGCAATATGAAGGGAAAAAGCAGCTTCTAGCAGGGAGAGAGAAGGTCAAAAGGAAGCAATTCCAAGGAATAGTAAACATTTGCTCTGTTCTAACCACTCTTATTAGTAAACTAGCAAATTGCCTGTCAAGGATGACTGGGGGAAGGACGGTGGGGACGGATCCCAGCCTCTAGCCCTGCACCCCTGTTCCCTCCATCCTTGTCTGCACCCCTTCCCCACCCCACTTTGGGCCTGACCCTGTTTCCCCCTGCCCCCTTCATCCCCACACCCTGCCTCTGTGGGCCTGGCCCTGTTCCCCCCACACCCCGCTGTGGCAGGCCCAACCCCATTCACCTCCTGCCACTGTGGCCTGACCTGGTTCCTCCCCCTGGCACAGTGGGCCCAACCCTGTTCTCCACCCCCGCCCCGGCCCTCTCTTGGCTCCATTAAGCTCTACCAAACCTTAAACCCGCAGTGCTTTTTCAGCTTGCATCATGTGTAAGTGATATGAACCTGAACTCTTCCCACTGAACCTCGAGAAGAATGATGTAGGCTAGGGATGGGCATTCAAAAAGCCAGAGCCTGAATTGATTCAATCTTTGCAGGTTAGGTTGAACGGGTTTGCAACAACACAGACATTCCCTCTGGACTGAGCAAATGTGGGCACATGCCTGCAATTGCTCAGGCCAGGAGCTGGCGGTGCTTGATTGCAGGAAGCTGTGCTGGGGCAGGGGGGTAGGGTGTGGTCAGCCCAGGCTGAACTGGTCAGAGAGGAGTTTACTTCCCCCTTCCCTTTCCCACCAACGGGGACCCAAGCTGGGTCTGCTGGGTCTGCCCCCTCACTGCTGCAGTGGCAGACCAGCATGGCCCCCTGGGGCAGAGGGGGAAGGGAGGGGGGTTAGTCCCTCCCCTACCACCACTGCAGCAGGATGGGGCAAGGACCTTGATGGGGGCAGCGGCTCCTGTCATAGTGTCAGGGAGCGCAAGCTCCTTCCTGGCAGGGACACTGCGCTTCAGGGCAGGTAGAGCTTTGGTGGACTAAGCATGGCAGCACTAGGGGCTGGAGGGGGCCAGAGCCCTCCAAGCCCCCCTCAGTGCTGTGGTGTGCAGCAGCTTTCCCCACCCCACAGCAGTCCCACCCCGTCAGGAAGGGCTTGCACTCCAGGAAACCGTGACAGGGGCTACTGCCCCCATTATGGTCACTCCCCACTTGCTGCTCCAGTGCTCCCCAGTGCTGCTGCATGCAGTTTGCCACAACTCTGCCCACCCCACAGCACAGCACCCCCACTGGGATGGGGCTTGCGCTTCCTGAAACTATGAGAGGGGCGTCTCTCCCCATCAAGGGCCCAGCCCCCTCCTGCTGCAGCAGCCAGGTGGGGGCATGGCCAGATGCCAGCCGGCAGGGCCCCTTGTGTGGGGGCAGGAATGGGAGTTATCCCTCCTCTCTCTGGCATCCAGTGGAGGGGGCAGCAGGGGACTTATTTCACTGCTTGGCGGTAGCAGTGGTTAGGGTGGGCAGACTTGGCTGCAGTCTCCCAGGGGCAGTGGGGGTAGAGGGGAGAAACCCCCTCCTCCCTGCCCCCTTCTGCCTCAGGGGCCATGCTGGCCCACCACTGCAGCAGCGATGGGGGAGTGCCTGGCAGATCCAGCTCGGGTCCCTGCCGGTGGGACAGGAAGGAGGGTATTAAACCCTTGTCTGGCTAGATCGGTGCCCCTGCCTGTCTGTGTCTGTCCCTCCTCCAGCTGGGGAGCAGAGGTGCAGGCCAGCCCTGCTGGCCTGGAGCAGAGAGTTCAGCCCAGAGATCATGCTGGGATGCTGGAGGACTCTGGTTTAAGTTAAACCAGGAATGGGTCTGGGACAGAGACTGTATAAATTGCTTTGAGCCAAATCAGTTAAATCTGATACTGCGTTCAATCAGGTTTATCTCAAACCAGTTTCAGTCATTTTGAAACTGGCTTATGTGCACTGAATGTCTGTTCTGTTACAGGTTTAAACCAGTTTCTGATCACTTAAACTGGCTTATGTGTAATGTCTGTCCCTAGCCATGATGACTTAAGGAGGGCTATGAGATGCAGCCTTCAGAGGCAGTGTGGTTCATCATTCTTTTGCAGCTAGCCAGTTCTTTGGACTAATGTCCACTAGGGCTGTGAGAAGCTTCAGGTGGTGATTCAATTCAGAGGAGATTCAGCCAGATTCGGTGGACAAATCTCCAAATCCAAATTGAATCAGGGGACCAGTTTAAAGGTCTGAATCAATTCAAAGCTCTCCAAATCTTCGGAAAAGTCACTGTCCCCCGAATCAGCTGAATCCAAATGTGAAACGAATACTAGCTGCTTTGCACCAGCCTAATGTCCACAGGGCCGAGGGCAAAGCCGTATTGGTCAGGTTACTTTCTTTTGAGTCTGTGGTCCCCAACCTTTTTAGACTTAAAGCACCCATTGGAAAATGCCAGCTCTTAATTTTCACTTATTTTTTGATTACAGAAAAATAGAGAAATTCTTTTCTTGCAAAGAATGTTTTTAACACTATGCATTCCTATTTGAAATGTCTGGGTTCATCTTGTGAATCATGTTTACATACCGAACAGCACTAACATACCATAGTACCCTTTGATATCCTTAAAAGGATTTTAAGGGACCCCAGGGTGTCACAGCACCCTGGTTGAAAATCACTGCTCTAAGGTTTACTTTGGTTCAAATCACATTTTTAGAGCCTGCCGAACTAATCCTTATGAGAGAGCCTAGCCTTCAGCCTGCCATCCCAAAGGGTTGCTGCCCCGTGCCTTGGAGTGACTATACTAGATAAGTGATGGGACTTGCATTTTTATGGAAGAGATGCGGTTTGGATTTTTTTACCCACATTCTTTACCCAAAGTCCTTTAGGGTCCAAACAAACATGACCTTACCAAAACTGTTCTAGTAACTTAGTCAATAAAAAGGAAAATGATAAATTTGGCTTAGTTATTTTTTCCCCAACAGATAGAAATATTTTGCAGGGACACATTTCTGTATATAATACATAGAATTGCTGGAAGGGGCCCTCAAAGGTCATCTAGTGCACAGGCTGGCAAATTTTGCAGCTGTGAGCCAGATCTTGTGACCTGGTTCCTTGCCACAGGCCACCAACCTACTTGCACAATTCTTGCTACAGATACCTGGCCCCTCTGTAGTGAGGGTGGAAGAATCAACGAGGTCTGTGGAGGGGGATGCTGCAGAGAGAACAAGTAGCTTGGTGCACTTGTGTTCTGATTCTTTGTCCCAACCTGGGCTGGCTCAGACCTAAATTCTTTATGGGTTGGATCTAGCCTACCAGTTGTAGGTTGCCAACCTGTGATTTAGTGTCACTCCTTGCATAAGGCAGGATCACTCCTGTCTAAACCATTTCAGACAAGTGACTGCCTAACCTACTCTAAAAAATTTCCAAGGATGGTGGTTCAACCTTCCCTGTGTAGCTATTCTGTTCCAATGTTTAATTCCCTCCTTAGTTACAAAGTTCTTAATATCCAGTCCAAATTTCCCCTGTTGCCGTTTAAGATGGCTACTTCTTGTCCTTTCCTCTATATATTCTGCCTCCTATCTACTCTGTATTATGTTTCAAAAGAATATCTTAAATGGTTTTCATTTAAATGAAATTCTCTAGAACTTTAAGTAAATTCCACTTTTCTTAAATGAAAAAATAACAAAACATAAAGTCTTGCAACCCCCTACCTTGGAAAATTAAAAAACACCAACCCCAAACCCCAGAACCCGCTGTATTTTTGCAGCCTCTAGGGTGGAAAGGCATGAAAAAGTTCGTGGTCTGATATCCTACCAAATTCACTTCATTTAAAATTCAACACCTTGTTTTCCCACTTGGCCAACAGGAGCAGGTGAACACTGTGGTCAATGTGTAATTTAAAAACAATTCCTTCCTACTTGTGCTAAAAGAATGTTTCATGGCCATGACAGGGAGGCATAATTTAAGTGTAGCACAGAAGAGGGGAAATTCATCCTGGCTCTGTTTGCTATGAAATATCCCATGCATTTCTACCTCCAGCATGTTTCCTTTGCTAATCAGCAAGTAAACAAGATAAAATATCCTTGTTAAAGGAAGTAACATTCTCCATTTCTGTCACTGGAAGAATGCCTCATTTGTCAGGAATAAAGGACTTACAATAATTAGATTTTTTTTTTAAATTCTCCATATGAAATACCAAATGGACAACACAGTATGCGGATGACTTAGTGAACCAAAGGAGTGAGTTCCAACAACCGGCATTTATCAGAGGAATATTTGACAGGTAGGGAAGTCTCAATACAATTTTACTTAAGGAACCAGGTGATGGGGTTGAGAAGTAGATTGTTGGCATATGGCACAGAGCTTGTTAGCAACAGCAGACTGCATAATCAATCAGTGTTTGGCATCTTAAACTACAACTAACAGCATCTTATGGCTTGATCTCGCAAAGCCTTCCTCACATGAATAGTTTACTAATGTGAAGACTCCCTCTAACATTATGGGGCTACTTGGGAGAATGAAGACTGTGAGCATGAGCAAAGGTCAGCTGAATCATTCTTTTACTCTACCTCATTTACATGGAATGCAATCAGTGGAATAACAGCTGTTAGAGGTGAATAAAAAGCAGACAACTGTAAATCTTACGTTGAACTAAGTTCTTTCTGTAAATCAACTCTTCAGACTGCTAAAATAGATGACATCTTGCTGTTGCTCATCCACCCAAGGACGTGAAATCCTTTTGCTTATCTGGTCTCTCCCCCATCCCCACCCCCATCTTTGCTATGTAAACAGTACAGCTTTATCCATTATTTAGCAATTAGAAGACTGTCAGGATCTACTGGCTGCAAAATTTGGGAGTTCTTAGATTTTTTAATTGAAATATAGAAAACCAAACCTGCAAAACTGCTGGGGTGGGAAAGGAAGAGGTTCATTCTAGAGAATAATTAGTTCTTGTTAGTAACTCCTACATTAGGCTCCCCTGATTTTCTCTGGAATGATTTGGAGCTAGTTTTTTCGTTTGTGTCATTGTTCACATTTGCCTACCTACAGTGAAGATTATAAATGAGATCTGGAAATGGGAACTGGTAAACTCATAGAAGGTTTTCAGTGTGTGCGTGTGTGGGGGGGGGAACACCCTTGACATTGCATATAACATGGAAATAAATTTAACAAAAGTGAGCCTAAGTCACTATAAATACATGTTTCCCTTGGTAAAATAGTTTCCAATGGCAGTTTTCAGAGCCCTTTTTAAGCAAAGTGTGGAAGTGCAAGTTCTGATAAAATATTTTTTGTTCATTTGAATTCATGTTAAAAAAATCTCATGCTCACGGCTTCTCACGACTCTCCTAAATTGATCACTCTTGTCCCTTGTGACATTGCCATTGGCTGTTCTGCTCTGCAGTGATGCCAACTTCACCTGCCCATTTCACCTTCCAGCACACACCTCTATGAAGTACTCATAATTGTTGGTCCTTTACACCAGAGCTGGTGAATGACAGGTTGGCCAATTGTTTATCATTAGTAAACAAATATAATCAAATACTTTGTACTCAGATTCTTTGATCTTGTACCTACTTACATTGGCCTGCTAATATGTGCACAGGGGCAACCCTCTAACTATTTATAGTGTGTTTCTATAAATATAGCACTTCACAATCAGAAATATTCTCCCTGTGCAATAAGGGAGGACAGGAGTGGAAGGACAGAATAGTCATTTTATTTTTTGCCTTTGGCAAAAGCTCCATTTGCACCAGTAACATTTCTAATTGGAATGTATTAGTGATGGTGTGTTATGGCTACCTTGAGTCTCAATTCACCTGTGTGATGTACAGTGTATCTAAATACACTGTACAGTGTATTTAAATACACAACCTTGGGACTGACAAAAGGCTATCCACTTACTTAGAGCATGCACTTATCTGAATTGAATATAATCAGTGCTCATTAAATACACTGTGTTCTGGTGCCCTGGTATTTGTTCCAGGGCTTCTAACTCCCCCCATTTGCCAATTCAGTAATAGTCACTACTTTTGGAAGCCTTGAAAACACGGGTACCTAATTAGTTGCCCTATTACTAGCCCCAAAACTTCGCTCTACTCTCATTTCCTAGGCTTCTAATAGGCACTGGTGGGGTTACTATTAGAAGCCTTGAAAATGCGGAGATGGAAGTCGTGAAACTGACCAGCTCCTGTCACTTTCAATAGCAGCCCTTTTACAACAGCTTCTCCTCCATTGTTTCTGGATCAGTTAGTACAATTAATTGCCAAATAGTTAGGTATCCTAGTACAGAGGTTCTTAAACTTTTTTTTGTGGACCACTTGAAAATTGCTGAGGGTCTTGGCAGACCACTTAATAAATTCTTTTTGTTCTACAGATCAAAGCACACAACTCATATTAAAATATCAGTAGTCTTACCTAATATCTTAATCGATATTCTTGATTGTTCTGCAACCTTTTTGCGGACCACCTGAATGGAGCTCATGGACCAGTGGTGGTCTGCGGACCACAGTTTGAGAACCTCTGCCCTAGTATGCAGTTAACTAGTGCACAATTTAGCTACAATGTAGACAGCAGAAAAATGCAAACTCCTTTAGTCCTTTATGAGTTTAGAGAAAAGGCAACTAATCAGAGACTGTATGTAAGCAACAGGCAACAAATTAGGGTTGGCCTTATTGGGATTGTGCAGTTAAGCAAACTGTCCACTTGTCATGCATGGATGCAGGGCATTGTCCTTATGCTGTTCAGATTAAGGACAGAAACAAAATGACACCCCAAGATGCTGGAAAGGAAGGGCACTGAGGGTCACTTTGATCCTGCAGGAAAACAGAACCCCAATTCCTATTGTTGGGACTGGGGACATTGATGAACGAAACTAAGCTCATGGTTTTGGTTGGCGATACTGTCAAACAAGACACCAGCTAAGAACTGAAATGAAAGAACAATAGATTCATACAGGGAACCTTGCCGTTGACCCCAATAAAAAAATTGCACATTTCTCTTTTTACACGAATACAGTTGATTGGGATTGGCAAGCTTCCTACATGGACAGAAGGAAAGATAAGAACTATAATATTTGAACTATAATAATATAGGCAGACTGAACAGACAATCACAACAGAACATATTTGGTTACACCCACAGCCGGAGCTTTCAGATCAGGGTTTTCACTACAATGCATTCTAGTTATGGTTGTTTGCTCCTGCAGGCCTTCCTACCAATGAAACAGTGTTTCTGGTGAAAAATGTGTTTTGCTAGTGATTTTTCCAGCCCCACCATTTAAAAGCTGATAGTACCTGGGGACAACTTTTGAACTTAAACTTTGCAGTACAAAGGAAAGACTTAATTTGATGGCTTAAATCTGCTATAATCTTGCCATCAACAAGGTGAAATTTCACAAAGTTTGCTCACATCATTGTGCATTTTAGGCTTCTATTAGTGAAATTTCATATTTCTTTTCCTGGCAATAACCTAGGAAAAGGGTGGTGGTGGGGAGGCAGAATACCTGGTTAGTTAGCCATTAAGTGCTAGCTTAGCCTTCAAGTGAGAGATGTTTTTGCTGCGTACACTTGTTGTTGTGTACTGTTGTTACTGTATTGCCTGGAAGCCCTATTTATGGATCAAGACCCAGTTGCAGAAACATACCAAAATAAGAATCTCTATCTCACATGCAGAGCAGACACGTGTCTGGAGTTCTGATTTTAATGGAGGATATAGCTATTAGGACTTACAAAGACTGATCTAAGGAGTAATCCAAGTGAAAGTCTACTTATTTGGGGGAATCCCACAAGTGACACATGGCCTCCAAAGTAAGAGGCAACCCTATTTAAAACCAACCAAACAAAACAAAGCATATATGTGTACTGTTCTATATACACAAGATGCTCCTCCTTTCCATTTGTTTTTGTGAGGATAAACTTTTGTTGGGGCAGGGAAGTGACATTTTGTATGAGTTGGTACTAATATTTTCCCCTGCGTAG